GTTATTGGCCAAGGAAGAGGAGCATAGTTAGCTTTTGTTTCATTTTGGTTTTGTAGCTAAGGACTATCTGACTGAGAGTAGACTAGTGCGATTGTTTTCAGTTCTTGTCTTTGGTGCTGTCCACAGTTTGATTCTCCCATAGTGATACTAGACAACTTAACCACCATAACAATGCCAGGGTGTTTTTGAAAGCTCTTATTTGCCTAATCCCTCAATATTTTAATGCAAATTGTTATTGATCCCATAGCTCCCTAAACAACATGTGAGGTTGTAACAGAGCCCGAAATGCTTTCCTCCATATGCAGGTAAGATCAGACACTAGATGATGCTATAGCTGAAGAGTAGGTTTCAGTTCTCATCACCCAAAGCTCTGGAGTTTTCTCCCTGAAAGCTGTCATTTTTATACTTAGCACGTTTAAAATATAACAACACTAATTTTCTACTGCAATTAAAGGGAATCATCTTTGCATTGTCTTATTTATCATTTATTGCTCTATGTTTAAACTTGGCCCAGATGATCCAACAATTCATGCGTTAATGAAGACAGGATTTTGTTTACCCTTGAATAAGCTCATTGGAGATTAAATAAAAGCACTAGTCCTTATTACAACAACTGTTTAATACCTTAAGGTATTGTATTACTTTGCAGTATGATTTAGATACAGCTTCCATTCAACCAGTGAAAGGGAGTCACTGTATGTGGTGACCTTCCTAAGTCAGGCTGCTGAATTGTGCAATTATTTTTCATTTTTTTGTTTTAATCTTTTGCATTTTATGATCTTTAAATGGCTAAATGCAATTAATTTGATTTTGACATTCATTCCTGCACTCTGTGAACGTAAATGTGTTAAAATTTGCTATGTAAAAATGTTTCTATTACATATGAAGAGATGATATGTGTGAATTCTAACTGTGAATGTTTCATTACGTAACACCATGCAAAGCAGATGGCCTTATGATCATTATCAACTTGCAGGTTTGAAAGAGGTACGGACACATCCAGTTCTACTGAATTCTTGTTCCTGAAATCCAATACAAAAATAACATGGCAAAGAACAGTTTAAGATCAGGAGGGTGAGATACACTTCTGGAGAAAAAGTGTAGTTCTAACTTTAATGCAACCCCTGCAGCTGCTTTTGTCCAAGCTGGCTCCAAATAAATAGCATCTCAATTGTTTTAGCAAGATATGCTACATTAGCCATGTTTCCATACCTAGTGCCAGTGTTTAATTTGTCTATCAACAGCCATTTGGTTGGTCAAGGGCATTTTCTCTGGAGCATGCGGTATAATGTGGTGTCCCACAAGGCTCAATTCTGGAACCTTTTTTTGTTCATGTTTGTTACATGTAGACATGTATTTTTTTTTTCTGTATGTTTCTGTCTCTCTCTCTCTGTCTCTCCCTTCACAGATGTACCTGCTTTTGCAATCCATCATGTGAGGAACACTTCTGACCAATCAAAACCCTGGCTGGTGAAACTGGGGGAGGCGTCTTACCCTTAAAAGCTGCATTCAAGACAGCTGAAGGAGAGAGGACTGTTATAACATATGTTGTCTTTTAATGTTTGTTTTTAATCTTTTGTGTTAATTTGTGTTTTAGTTTGGATACTTTACCAGCATATCTCTGATTAGGTTTACAGGAGACGGTGTTCCCTGACTTAGAGGTATGCTTAGGTGTCAGTCATCTACCAGCTCATTTTATCTTGGTGCTTTCATTGGGAGATTTATCAGCACACACTCTAACTCTGTTTATGGGGGTTTTGTCTCTTGTGAGACAGGACTGCTTATGTTGGGTAAATCTCACCAGCACAATCCCAACTTAGCTTACAAGAGCTGCTTGAATATTTGTACTACTTGGGCTTTGAAACAGGTAAGAGCCTGTACATTCACACCACGTCAGAGTCTGCTGTCTAGTTTCCTAGATCAGTGAGGTGGTATTGTCCCATGTGTTTTTGGTTATCAGGGAAGAGGCAATCTGTTGCCTCACACCTGGGCCTGGGTTCGATTCCGCAGTTGGGCGACCAGGATCTTTTCTGGGGGTAGTTTACATTTTCTCCCTGGGTTTCCTCTGGTGCTCCAGTTTCCTCCCACAGTCCAATGACATGCTGTCAGGTCATTCTGTGAACTTGTGTTAAAACTGTGCTATGTAAATATGTTCTCATTACATAGGACATGGTGATACAGATGAACGCAGCACCCCATGCAAAGCAGATGGCCTTGTGGTCATAATCAGCATGCAGGCTTGAAAGAGATATGGACACATCTAGTTCAACTGAATTCTTGTTCCTGAAATTCAATACAAAAAGGACACAGCAAAGAGCAGTTTAGATCAGGATGGTGAAATACACTTCTGGAGAAAAAGTTCAGTTCTAACTTTAACTGTAACTTCTGCAGCTGCTTTCGTCCAAGCTGCCACCTGCTATAGATAGAATAAGCAATTACCTAGAACATCCACGTCATTGCTCTTCATTGCCAGAGTAAATTTGTCTTGTTTTTTTGAATATGTTGGTTGGTTAACATGTGTCATAAGACTGGTCACTTTCACCGAGTTAAGGTGGGCTCCCACCTCTTCATATATGAAAAGATCCATTCCAAAAGGCCCATGCAGAGAGAGGCTGTTCTTCATGGGCCTATGAAAGCCCTGCCTCCTCCCTCTTGAGTGCCAATGTTTCTGCTGATGTTAAGACAGGATCATATAAGGAATTACTGACCATGTAAGTGCCAGGAGTCAGAATCGACTTGATGGTGCATAGTAATAATAATGTTATGATTAATGCCTTAAGAGCAGGAGCATTAATGGGGACAAAACTATATGCAAGCTTGAACAAAGAGCGCTACAAATAATGCAGGTATTGTTACTGTATTAGTCAAATTATTTGATACATTTAATGTCAAATTTTATACTGTTGCAGCTGTAAATGATTTTTAAGGCACTTAGAAATTGAGGGTCCCTCATTAAATGAATTTGTACCTCTTTTAGTGACTCCACTGTAGACCTTTTGGAGTATTATATGTTCAGATATGTGTTCATGAACTCCTGTTGATATGAATTTTCTGTTTTTTTCAGCAATCCATAAAAAAAAGCTAACAGCTTCCCCTTGTGGAGAAACTTAAACCTGCTAAATGCATGTGAGGGAGTTACAGGCCTGGTCAGTGAGGTGGCTGGCATCTGAAAATTGAGAAAGGTTTCATTTTTAATTGCAGTGCAAGAGAGATGAGAGTTTTATTTAGCGGGTTATCTTTGCTTTAGCACACTGCCAGAATATCTACACAATGATAACTTACACGATGTATGAATTCTTCATCTTTTTGTGTAAAACATTTTCCGCTCTGCTAAGACTGTTAAGGCTTAGCTGTTTTATATAATGTGAGATGCACATATCAGCTAGTTGCACAGTTAACAAATCTCTTAAAATTTCACATAGTAGTAGGGTGTGGGAGGGCTTCCAAAGTCTAATCTTGACTATGGCATAATATAGTCTAGAGCAGAGGTTTTTAATTAAAATTCAATAAGGTCCAGTTAGAGAAAATATCCTCAAGCAAAGATCCGGAACATCATAATGTCTAACTTGCATCATGATTCAGTGCCATATACTGTTTACTGAAGTGGCCCAGTAGGTTTATCAGCATCTTATACAGTCAACAACTGAATGTCAAATCAAATAAAGTCCAGTTCAGTCATATTTCAGCAACATTTACTGTCAGTTTTATCTTTTTAGAGCACGACATGTGAAACAACTTCTCTCTGACTCACTTTGTTTTCCGACTGCTGTTTCTAACCTCGTCCCTCCCCTGTGAGACTCAAGTCACTCACTCAAGTCTCAGTGCTCATCGTAATGCATGGATCTGATTGGCTGCATAGCGTCACATGTACGATTGGTCTGTGAGTCTCCCGGGCTGCTAAAGTGGAACCGTAAAGGCTAGAAAAGTTATGTCAATTAAAATAGGGCCACATCATTGAATTAAATAATTCTCCATAGTTTATCGGTTATAGGTCCACGTCCACATAGGATAGTGTCTGGGTCTGGACTCGGACCGCTGTCCGCCTATTAGTGACCTCTGATCTAAAAGTAGCCATGGTTCCAATACAACAGTCTTCATATATGAAGCCAGAGTGAGTGCTTTACAGAGACCCCATACCCTGCATCTACATTGATGAGCCAAAACATGATCACCTGCCGAATATGCCGTTGGTCCTCTGTGTGCCTCTGAAGGTGCCCTGTGGTCATGGCCATAACTAGCTATAAGGACACCTAAAGGTCCAGACCTCGGTATTTTCAGAAGGGTTTTTTCACTTTCCTCCATTCATGAGGTTAAATTTAGAAACGCCTTTATGATAATACTTTCTACTCAGGGCTGCAGCCACAGTGTTACAGGCCACTCAGTCAAATGAGGACAGAATATTTATGCTGCTTTTTTTTTAGGACAATGAAATTTGATTTGCTTTCTGTGAGCGCTTTCACTGCATCATGGCCAACCAAAATGTGCCAGGCTCCACCTTGTTTTCTCAACCCTCCAATCACTGCTTACTAAGCACTGCTATCCACAATTGCTTCAGAACGTTATCAGTGCCGTGACTAGTGTTAGGACTCCTAGGTCCTCAGAAGTTTTAGAGGGTTTTATGAGATTCGATGTGGAAAAAGTGATGAAACTACACAGTAAGCAGTGAGTGGTTCTCAGCTGACCTCAGAACAGTTGTGGTTCAGCCCTAGACTGAACTGTCCGCTCTGTACAAAATGCTACACTGTCCTGAGTACCAGAATGACTTTGACCTCTTGAGATCAGCAGCTCCTTTAAGTCCTGTAAGTTGTGAGGTGGAGCTGCCAGGGACCAGACTTGCTCCAGCATATCCCACAGATGCTCCATCGAATTGAAATTCTGGGGAATTTGGGCAGGCCACACCTTGACCTCTGTCATATTCCTCAAACTGTTCCTGAACAATGTTTGCAGCGTGGCAGCGTGCACAAAAGAGGCCACTGCCATTGGGGAAGACCAATGCCATGAAGGGGTGTAGCTGGTCCGCAACAATGGTTAGGTAAGTGGCACAAGTTGAAGGCCACAGAAATGCCTGGACCCAGGCATTGCTGCCCTTTAAACACTCACAGTCAATCATTCTTAATTCTTGCTTGAATTTCTATATTTCCTTTTTCTTACAACAAACCGAGCAATTGTGAAATGATTTACTGACTAAAGGTGTTTGAGAAGGTTGTTTCATGTTGTATCTCAATGTTTTACTGTGTGTGTTCATTCATTTGCATGGTTAGGTGAGCCTTCATGTAAATCATCATAAAAACAGACTGAGAAGCACAAAAACAAAGAAAGCATTGTTGTGGCCTCAGTTTCACTTCAGTTGCCAACACTAATCAGCAGGACACAGACAGACACTAACAGAGCAACTTTATCAGCAGTAACAGGTAAGAAACACCTTTAAGACTCTAATGTTATTGAGCTTTAACTTACTGCCAGAGTGAATGTGTGTATTCTTAATTTGAAGTTTAGCAGACACGCTTTATTTTTTCAATAAATAACAGGTCGGTTTACAGGACAGGGATTTAGCTTAGCCTTGGACTGGATAGAATTGTGAATAGGATTAATCTCGCCCCACAAAATTAACCCGTACATTGCTGATTTTCTTATGTATTATCATGACTTTAAAATGAGACAGCAGTCTTTTTGAGCGCACAGAGACACTGGGCCTCATTCACCAATATCTTCCTTTTTGAGAAAGGTCCCAAGAAAAAGTCTACATCAGATTCATGATGTGTCCTTAAACCACAGAACTGTTCACACCTTTGTGCTCTTGAGTGTGTGTAGATTCTGTTCTTACCTAAGAACAAGTCTCAAATAAGGAAACACTGGTGAATATCAGAATCTTCGTAAAAACTGCATAAATGGGTTTTAAGAAGACATTTCTTCTTATGCATGGTTGGTGAATGAGGCCCAATGATATAAAAAACAGACCAAACTGAACAGTTGATATTGTGTATATATACGATACTCTATGTAATATATACTATACATTTCTCAGTTTAGTTTATACTCTAGATTAACAGGCTTATTTGTGTTCAGATAAAACGCTGCTGCTCTCTGAATGTGTTCCATGTTGTAGTTTGTGAGTTTAAGCTGCTGCTGTAGGTCATAATTTATAACCTACTTATAAAATATATTTATGATTATTGCTGAAATGACATCTGGCATTTTAACTATGTAGATAAAGCAATGACCTATGAAGCCCATTGCAGAGAGGTTGGCTGAATATTTACATTAGAAAGACATGTAATGTTGCTCTATTGTAGATCTTCTCTGAACAAACATGTTATACATGTGTTCTCAGTTTTAAATGTGTTTGATTCTTGCTGTGTGGAACCTGGACTAGCAAAGTCCTCAGGTCTCTGTCTGTTTAAAATGTCATGTTGATACTTTTGTAGCCTGTATGTTCTTTTAATCTAACATGGCGTGACGGTCCTCTCACCTGTTCTTCTTCACAGCTCATCTCCACTTCACTTATAGTCTCTCATTCTTCTCTCAGGCTCTGGAATGTTTTGTCACTGTGGTTCTTTCCTCTTCTTCTTTTCCTGTCTATCAGTAGTTGTGATCTTTTGCTTTTAATATCTGCATAAGCGTCCAGCCTCTGAAACTGCTTTATTACTCAGTGACTTTATCTGACCAGACAGTTCATACAGCACTATTTACTTTGGTACCTGGTCAGATAAACTAATGCCTGCTGTTCTTGTAAATGTGCGTTGACATTAACATTTGTCTGCATGTTTATGGTGTTTTTCTTCTGATTCTCCAGAGGAACAACATTCAGATACATTTATTAAACTCATCTATTCCATTAGAAGCTAAAACAGTCCATGGTGATACCCACTGTTTACAACAAAATACAAAAAAAAATGTTTTTTAATACCTGAAAGTGAATCACTTCCTGTAAGTTCTTATTTTTGCTTTGAAATTTTTGAACGTGTCACCATCCCTTTTTTTTTTATTAAAGGGCAATTCCACCAATTTTTCAACATTTCTGCATAACTCAATCGTTATGATGTATACAAACTCATTCAGAGTGATCTGATGTGAAATGCTGTTATAGAGGAACTCACTGTGTCAAATTGTTTACAATAACAGTAATAGTTAACCAGACACCTGAAGCCAGAGAATAAATCCATAAAGTATCCGCCCACCATATTTACAACCACTTTATTATCAGCACTCCATATATAAACTCAGAAGACATGTGCAGGTTCACTGGTGATTTTGCATAGTAAATAAAGTGGTTATGTATGGGTATGTGTTTATGTCATGCTGACCCCTGGTTCCTATCACCACCATTCTAAAAAAAATCTAAGTGCTACTACATGTAACATCTGTTAAACAGCATGATCTAATGTACTGGTAGTAAAGACTGTTGAGGTGTTTAATGTGTGGATTGTGTCTCTCTTGTTCTCCACAGTCATGAGTTCAGCTCTGTATCTGATCCTGCTTTTCTCAGGTCAGTGTAGCTTCATGATCATCTGTAAAACTCTCTGCTGCTTCATTACTGTACTGTCATGCTGATGAGAGCTTTCATCTCTACAGCTCTGTGGACTCTCTCCTTCTGTGGGACTCATCAGTTTCATGTGGTGGAAGAAAAGAAGAACTGGACCAACGCTCAGAAATACTGCAGAGAGAAATTCACTGACCTGGCAACCATTGAGAGCCAAGAGGAGATGGAAGCTGTAAAATCTGTTCTCAAAAGAACAGCAGGCAATTTCTGGATCGGACTGAAGCAAAAAGATAAAAATGACAACACTGTAAGAAATCATGTACATTTAGATTTAGACACTTTCAGAAGGCGAGCGACTAATGAAACTGGATGCAGGTTTTGAAAATATCTTTCATCAGTGACTGACCAAAACACTGCAGCAATTGCAGGTGTTCACAAGCCACTATGCCTGCTGGTTTTTATATCCATTGCATACATTCCCTATTTGATTTGGATTTATAAGTTTTTTTTCTTCAAAAATACTTTATTTTGGCTGAAAACATTTTAAACTCAAATGCAGTTTCAATCTCCTGAAAACCTCAAAAGAGCCAATCACTAAAATCCTCATGTGGCTGTGATGATGGTTTTATCTGGTGTGATAATGAGCACTGAGAGGTCAGTGTTTAAACAGTTCACTGATCAGGTGTTAAATGTGTTTCTAGAGCTGGATCTGGTCAGATGGGAGTAACTGCACATACAGATACTGGAGCACTGGAGAGCCAAACAACGGTGGGGGTGAAATGTGTGTGCAGTTGTTGCAAAACCCTGAATACAGATGGAATGATGCAGGCTGCCAGTGGTCACATCCATTTATCTGCTATGAAAGTGGGTAATATGAGGTGATAACTGCAGTTCATCTGTTACAGATTCAGTTCATTCACTTTTAACCTCTTTTAAACTCAGTGACCACATTACACTTTTATGCAAAAGTTTAAACATATACAAAAAAAATATAAAATATAAAATGTGCTATAATTTTTAAACAAGCCATATTTTATGCTTTATTTTTTCCTGTAAGTTAAGCAAATAAACAGTAATTTTGTATTAAAATGTGCAGAGGTGTGTTCTCTGTAGAGGACATGTTAACTTGCCCAAACATCTGCAAACAAGTATATTACAGTGAGGCTGGGTATTATCAGCAACTTCAGGGTATGATACAATGACAAAACCCCCAGATGTACAAGGGCCAATTTTTGGTCCATACCATATGTTACCATAAAATTTGTTTTGAAATGTATAGTAATAGTCTAATAAATGTTCATTAAATCGACAGTAATTGTCAGAAACGGAGCACAGTGATGTGTCAATTCACATCCTGTTCAAAAAACATCTGAAACAGGTGATGCAATCATGCTTGGGGATAAAATGAGTATCCAAGCAAGGTCCTTTAGGAGTAAGGATGGGTCAAGGCTCACCACTTTACAAAAAAATGCATCAGACAATAATGCAGCTGTAATGTGCCAACCAGATTCAGAAGCTCGCGGATGTAAAACACAAATGAGGCTTTACTGAAGGATTCAAAGTCCAGAGACGTCATCACAAAACAGGCAGGGGTCAAACCAAAAGGCACAGCAAATACAAACATATGACCTTAACACAAGGCATACAGTCCAAAAAGGGAGAGGCAAAGACGTAGTCAAAGATGCAGGCAAAAAGGTCAAATAACAGGAGACAGATGATAAGGCAAACAATCCCAAGGGCAGCGCAAAAGGCAGAGTCAAATGAACAAAAAGCAATGGTCATACACAATATACAAACAATGGATAGACCACTCAGTAGATCACAAAATGGATACAAAACCTCGCAACTATCTACTGCTAAAGCCCGGGCTTATATACTAAAGTAAGTAAGTCATATGACTAATGACACAGGTGACAAACATTAGTACTCCAGAGATCTAGAGCGCTGATAGGAGCGTGAAGTCATGAGGTAATCTCCTGGAGGGTTCTGGGAGATTGAGTCTGTGTGAGTGTCTGCAGTAAAGGGAAGTTCAGAAGTCATGTGATCTCCCAGAGGAGTCTGGGAGATTGAGTCCAGATCCACGCTGGGACTTGGCGGATGCATGACAGCAGCAGTTTAAGAATAAAGTTCCTCAGTGACCGACTACAGGAATTTTAGGTATTTCACCATCTACAGAGCATAATAACATTAAAATAAATTCATAAAAGCAAAATATTTTGGTAGTCCAGCGAATGAAAAACCTTCGACCCCTCAGATGGCACTGCGTTTAAAACCGGCTTACTTCAGTGATGGATATCACCACATGTGCTCAGAAACCATTGTCAATAAACACTGTTCATCACTGCATCCATAGATGTACGTTAAGACGGACTCAATTTGAAAATGTGTGGCACATTAAGAAATGCAAGATATGACAATGATGGCCCCAAACGACAGCAGAGCTAAAATGGATCAGTTTGTGTCTTCAGTCTCTAAATGATTAATAAGTGTAAGGAAAGGTTATATAACGCAGTGGTAAACATGCTCATGTCCCAACTCTTCTAAAATGTGTTGCAGGCATCAAATTTGGAATGAGCATATTTTTACAATTTATTAAAACCATTAAAGTTTATAATATAAAACATCAAATTTCTTTTTTTTTTGCACTTTTCTCAGTTTAATACAGGTCAGACAGAGTTAAGTAGTCACTGCTTTCTGTTTTCATTAGTATTGCTCTTACTGTCCCATCTTTTGTGGAATGGGGTTTGTACAACTAACAAGGTTCATACATAACTGTACAACAGTTAGTAAAGGGTACTCCCTTCATTCATGCACACAGTAGACTCTCAGACTTGAATGCAGTACAAATTTCACTCGCATGTAATAGTAAATTCATTATTATCAATACTGACATCATTGTAGCGATATGTGTATTTGCATGAGTTTATCCACGATTTATTACTATGTCAATATTTTGAACTCACTAACAAAAAAGCATGAGAAGCACAATGATAACTAAACTATTTGATATATTGGTTGGATCCTTTTTCTTCGCTCTTCCGCAGAGATTCCACTCATCCTGATTAATCAGAACAAGACGTGGAGAGAAGCTCTGAGATACTGCAGAGAGAATCATGTGGATCTGGTCTCTGTTCACACTCACGAAATTCAGGACTGGGTGGAGATTATTACTAAAAATGCCTCCACTGCTAATGTGTGGATGGGTCTGCGACACACCTGTGTCTTAAGTATCTGGTTCTGGGTGAGTGGATCAACTTTGTGCTACCAGAACTGGGCTCTGCGGAACGGGACAGGGAGTGGAAGACTGCAGAGGAGGCGAAAGAACAGGAGCGGTGCAGTCTGGAAGTAAGCAGTGGGTCAGTCTGCCAGAGAATCAGAGACTCAACTTCATCTGCACCATTAAGAGTAAGACAGAGGATTATATATCTGTTAACAGCTGAATATTGATGGTGAAATAATACTGATTGATGTTATTTGCTTCTTTTTAGAGCTCTAGAATGGATGCGGGCTGTTCAGCTGGATCCTCATAGTTCAGGATCAAACTGATATGTAAGAGAAATTTCTACATCAACATGCTTCTGATGAAGTCATGTAAATATCCTACTTCAGTTAATAATACACATATTCATATTACTGATACTGATTCTCTATTTAGTTATTAGCAAAAGACTTTAGAAATAAAGCTTATAATGACAGTTTATGATATGTAAAGATAATCTATATTTTGTACTAATTTTATACTATATTTTTATGCTACTGAGTGCTATTTTCATCCTTCATCAAAATGCTAATGTTTATAAATAACTATAATACAGCCTACAAATTGTCCTTCATATGTACTAATTATTCTAAACTTTTTAGTGTGTACTAAAAGAAACTTAAACTCGCTTAAGACTGAAACATTATTTTTTTACTTGGGCTGTAATTAAAGTAACTACAGAATAGCCAATGAAAAATACTCATATTCTTATATGTTGTATCATTGGCAAAATTCCTCTCAGTAGATTTGGTCTCTTCTCGTCTCGTCTCGTCTCATCTCATCTCATCTCATCTCATCTCTTCTCTTCTCTTCTCTTCTCTTCTCTTCAGTGCTAAATTGTTTCAGTGGTTTTGATGTCTTATTTATATTTTTGATTTGTAGATCATAGTTTATTGTTCTTTTATTGTAGCTGTTCAAATAAACAAGCTATGGAGTCAACAATCGACACTTGTAAGATTCTTTGTAAGACTGATGTGGTGTTTTCCTGTAGCTGCTCTTTATCACATCTTTAGAAACTGAATCAGGGAGTTTTAAGTGGTTCTATTGTTCAGAATCATAGTTTTCAATGTGTATTGTGTACATGATGTCCAGGCAGTTATACTGAATGTTGTGCAGGCATGCATTAAGAATTTATGTATTCTGCCTGAAATATTGCAGCTATTCATCTAGCTCCACAATATCTTACTATGACAATCCAATAACGCTATCCTGGTGGCAGTTTAGATGTTGTTGAGGACCTGCTCACTGTTGCTTTCTAATGGCTCTAATGGATCTGGTGACATGAGCGTGAAACTGAACGTGAAGACATTTATATTATATTTTGTAAATCTTGAAAATGTATGTGATTTCATCATAAAACTTTATGTAAATTAGCTGAGTGGAAACCAATCACAAATTAGAGTGACAACCAATCTCATTGTTGATGTGTGGCGCAGAACATATTCAAAGCACAGGGCATTACGGCAATAAATTATTTTAAACAACAATACTAGGCTGCTCTGGCAAACTCCACTCTCAAACAAGCACAGATGGTCTTTACTACATTCAAATCATTTTGTCAAGTTTTAATCTTTGTAATTTTTACTTGTAGCAGCTGCAGTTAAACAATCCTAAAATCACTCCTGCATCCCTGTTTATTACTGAGACTGCTGCTCTTTCATGCCACTGAAAAGAAAAAAAAATATTAGGCTCATAATAGCAATATATGATGAATATATGATATGATTCTACTTGATCAGCTCCAGAACTTGGTTAGCCTTTCTGACTGGTTCAGATTCTACCCGAGTGGCTCTGACTATTGTCTGCAACCTTGCTGATGAAATGAAAGCTCCTCAATTTAGCGTGTGACAAAAAAGTGACAAAACAGCTGGATTGTGAATATAATCAGCATCAAGCACATCAACCTAGAGATAAATGACATCTGCGCCATCTGACCTCTGTCATGACCAGCCTTTCAAAATCACAATCAGAGCACCATTCAACAAATAAATGAATTTTCCAAAATAAGAAAAAGGAAGTCTAGCACTTTATGAACTACATACAGTTGTATGAACTTTGTATAAATTTCACTAATTTTCTCTGACATTTCCACCACTTTTTGCTCTGTCAGTAAAGTTTATTATTACTATTAAGAAGTGATGAAAACATGAGGATCCTATCTGTGAATATTTCATCACACATCACACCATGCAAAGCAGTTGGCCTTGTAGTCATGATCAACATGCAGACTTGAAAGAGAAATGGACAATGTTAAAATCAGTAAATAAACAGTAATTGTGCATTAAAATGTGCAGAAGTGTGTTCTCTGTAGAGAATATGTTCATTTATTTTCACTCAGAAGATCAATAAAACATATCATTTGATCAGGGGTGCACAAAGTCTGCAAACAACTGTACTACAGTAAAGCTGGGTATTGTCAGTAACTTCATGATATGGTACAAAGACAAAACATACCAGATTTACAAGAAGTATTTTTTGGTCTGAGTTACCATTAAACTTGTTTTAAAATGTACAGTAATAGTTTAATGAATGTTTTAAAAGGCCGAGGTGACAATTCTTTTAGTAAACATTCACTTTCAATGTGATTTTAAAAGTATAGTGAATAATAGTGAATAAATAATGCTGGGTAGCTTTCAATAACTATATTATAGATGTGCTTCAGGTCCAAAAACCTAATTCCAGAAAAGTTGTGACAGTGGGTAAAATTCAGATAAAACAGAGCGCAGTGATGTGTAGATTCACATCATGTTCAAAAACCATCTTAAATAGGTGTTGCGGTTATGCTTGGACATAAAAGCATGTGTTCAGGTGTTTCGATTTTCCCCTCTCTTATCGACCTGGCTCAAAGATCACCAAGCCTGATGCCCTATATAGGCAGTGGACCGTGTCTCCTCTGAAGCAATTGCCTGAAACTATAATACTCTAAATAGATAAAAGTCTTCCATCCAAAAATAAAGACATGGTTAAAGAAAAAAACTCACAAACAACCAAATACAGAACAAGCTCCAGTGGGTGGAGACATGTAATAAAAGTAAACAAAACCCCATTTTTGGAACGTAATAAAAACATCAACAAAAAACTACAAAATAGAAAAAGAATAAAGAAAAATAACAGGCAGAGAGTGAGAGGAAATACATTTGCAAAATAACAATGAGAACTCACATTTTCCCAAAAGATGGAGTCGCACAGGGTCACATCTTCATTTTCACAGAATGTTGCTTATTTCATATTTGGTAAACGGACATCTTGGAGGTTTATTGCATGCTGGACTGTTAAAAGCTGGTGAAAGAGAAGAGTGCTCTGTAGAATGGCAGCACTGTCATACAATATTATTCAGAGGCTTATCATGAAGTTCAGTAAAGGTGTCAGTAGACAGTATGAACACAAAGTTGTTTAAAGATAGACTTAAAGCTGGTACATGAAATCTCATTAAGACTACTCACGGCATGGCTGTGCACTGCAAAGATCCTACAGTCATTAGAATCTGACACAGGAGCCTTGAAGCCATGCTGTCAGGTTGATTGATGTGGATGGAGAAGCTGTGGGAAAATCTATGCAAGTAATGCCAAGATGAACATCTGGACCAGGTTCAACTCTAAAACTTGCTTAATAAAATATGTGACATCTCTGAGTAGCAGATAGCAGGTCCACAGAGTGGGATCTCACTGGATTTGCCCCTGTATCACCATGAGGCACCACCAAGTGGTGGCTTAGGCTTTTGAAGCATAAGAAGATTTTCTCATACACAGTTACCCACTGTTTTCAATAGGGACCAGGTCCCATCCTGATTAGCTTCTCATGCAGTGAATAGGGGCAACACATGACACTGTGCACACATCTTAATCCCACTTCTTCCTTGGGCCTGGTGTCAACAATGAACCGGTGCTGGAGCATAGAAAGTCTGGCCCAATGGGTGGGTAACGTGATGCTCAGAGGAGCCTGTGGATCATTTGAAAACCTTTGAGTCTAAGGTGGGCGGCTTCGGCATGGGCACAAGCTTTTGGCTCACCTCCATGACTTTGTGGTGTATTGGTTAAAGAGGTTGTTTACTGGCTATATACTGATTTGTCTACCTCATTTATATACCCTGTGAGCTCCTGCTGGCACAACAGTTATTGTGCTTATTTGTCCATATAGCTGCATTTAGCTACTGTCAGTGTTGGCTTTATGCACTAGTCATATGTGTATTGATGTGTCTATCCAGTGAGTTTGGCCAATACTGTTTACATTATGATGTAAGGGAAACAAGTGTGTTTTAGCTTCTCTCCACCAGCCTGATTAGCTTCAAGAGTTCTATGGCCAACCACCAGGTGCCAGAGCCAGTTCTAAGTATGAGTCAATAAGCATGAGTCAATCAATAAAAGACTGTCTTTTCCTTGGGATTGTCACCCTATTATGAAGAACCTCTACTTTAAACATTACAGCACAGTTTCATTAGTGCCATAATTTTCTGTACTTAGAAAATCATTGAGAATCTAGTCTAGAAGTCAACAGGGTCTTCTAGTGGACTAAAATGTTATGTTTAGTTTTAGATAATATGGAAGGGAGTGGAGAGGGTCTCTCAAATCAAGGATTTCCAATCCCAGGCCTGGTGACTCGTTCTGCACATTTTTGTGGTTTCTCTACACATTTAATCCAGCCAACATGGCATTTGTTAGTTAGCTAAGGTGTTGTATCAGGCTGTGCTCCATGAGCCAAGCACAAAAATGCATATCAGTAAAAAGTGGTCGACCAATATCAGACAGAAAATCCAAGGGTAGATTAAACTAAGCCTCAGGTTAGCTGGCTAAGCCATAAATCCTGCTTCCTGAGACCGACCCCTGATAAAGGAGCAGTGAACGAAGGGGCTTTTTGTATACAAGTCAAGAACACAGAAACAACTGGGAAAGGCGGAGAAACAAACTACAAACATGTGCAGGGACTAGACAGGAGACAAAGAAACAAAATAAAAACAAAAGCACATGGCAGAGACTAGACAGGGAGACAATAACAGCCTTTGATTTTATGTGTGTTTGAGTCGCCTGTGTCGGGGGATCTTTGTTCATTTGCATTTTTTCTCTGAAACTTAATGTAAATAACCATCAAGAAAGAAGCATAAACAAACAGAGCTGCGCCGGAGTTAGTTTCCTCTATTATCAGACAAAACAAAAACTGCAGGAGACACACAGAGACTAAATAGCAAGAGTCACTTCTAAGTCAGTAACAGGCAAGAAACACCTTTAAGATGAAACTCTTGCTCACAGCATTTGAATGCATCCATCTGATATTCCATGCATTCTTCATTTGAGTATTCTTTAATATGACTAAACTAATTCAGCAAGAAAAAGTGCAGTTCTTGAGGTAGATGCTGTACTTCATATGTATTTTTTCTTTCTGGTGATCAGTATTTTACAAGAATACAGCAGTGGTTAACTCACCGGAACAGTGAATAATAATGGCAGCATAGAGTGACCTTTTATTTTCTCTGAATTTGTGCAGTTACAGATTAATAGTTTTACCTACTTTCTGCTATAAACTGTTGGATCTCTGCTTGTGCACCTTAGAACATTTCAACCACTGATGTGTTTCATAGCTTATACCCTGGTATAAGGCAACACATGACACTGTGCAGGCAGTTTCATCTTAGTCTTAATGACACTTATCTCTCTTCATGTAAATGTGTAGGC